AACGAGGCACAGATTCAATGATTAACCACAGAGGGGATGAAGGCAGGAGAGACCCTTGCCTGATCTCAAAGGGCATCAGCCAGACTTTGATCACAGAGATCCCAGGGCCAGGGGGTGCCCGCTGACGCCCTTCAACGAGGGGCCAAGGCACACGAGAGCTGCAGGGAACAGAGCTCAATGGCACTGGGTCCCCGTGAATCACTAACCGCTCCCCCCAGTTCTCTGGCTGCTGGATCCCAGCTCGACCCTCCTGCCAGCAAAGGGTTAACAGGGTCCCAGGGCAAAGTCCCTGCTGCTGGTCCCAGCAGTGCAGGGCCAGAGGTCCAGCTCACTGGGCAGAAGAGACGGCCCCACATGGGAGCTGCGTTACCTGGGGGGGCCGAGGGGATCTCCTTGGGGTGCTGATGCCCTCTCCCACGTATTCTAACTCGCTGGGCCGGGCTGAGGAGCCCCACAGAGATGGGGCTCACCACCGGGGTAGGCAGCAGGGGGCACCCCAGCTTGCCAGGCCTGTTCCAAGCACAGTGCCAGACCACCCACCAGGAAATGGAGGGGTGGGGCTGGTGCGGCCCAGGGCGAGTTCCCAAGGGAACGTCCCGTCCTAGGGCCAGCAAAAGGCCCTGACGCAGCCCTGCAAGCACAAGGAGGTCACCGCTACAGCGGCCAGCCCAAGGTACAGCATGGGGTGGCCTCTGTACGCTGAGCACCTGCAAAGGGGGGCAGTCACAGGGCAACCCCCCATAAGCCCGGGGGAGGCAGCGGGTGTCCCACAAGCAGATTTCCCCTCCTAAGACAAGTGGCCATCGAGATGTGCCAATTATGGCAGTGCAATTACCGGGTGCTGATTGGTCGGCCAGGATTAGCACTGCTGCACTGATTGGGCGTCTGTGTGCAGAATCAGTGGATGAATCAGTCAATCAGCCATGCAGGATGGGTCCCCCGTGACGGGGCAGCGCCGAGGCGAGACCGAGGGCACGGGCCCCCGAGCCCTGGTCCGTGACAGGCAGGACCCAAGGGCCCGGCACTGGGGTTCCCCCCACGGGAGCTGCCCGCCGGCCAGGGGCGATTGGCGTGACGGCTCGGCGGATGTGCCTGGCCTTACGTGTCGTAGAGCGTGACCGTCCGCGAGCCGCTGGTGCTGTTCACAAGGCAGCAGGCGCACGGCGTGTCCCCCCGGCTCTGCCACGCCACATGTGCTACGTCCACACCCCTGCGCCGGAAGTCCGCCATGACGAAACTTAGCGGGGGAGGGAGAGACCGGGGGGAGGGAGAGAGGGGTTAGATCCTGGCGGGCACAGCGGGCGCCGGGCACGGCCCCTACGCACCTGTTTGTGTGCAGGATGGTGCGGGTGCCCCTGCTCACGCTGCTGATGACGATGGAGGTGGGGAAGGAGCTCTCGGGGTGCGAGACCACATGGGTGAGCTCCACTGCATAGCGCCGCAGATCGGCCAGGACGAAGCTGCCGGGGAGGGGGCGCAGAGAGGGTTAGCGCGGGAGGGGAGAGCCGCTGTCCTGCAGTACCTGGGGGCTGGAGGGGAGGCAGCGGGTCTGGGGGCCCAGTCAGTCCCCAGCAGCGATTGCACCGGCCACCCAACCTGCCCCCTCTGCACCGGGAGCCCCACAGATCATGGGCGGCACCAGGGCTACAACCGGGAGTGGGGGTGAAAGGCTCTCCAGAGACTCCCCAGCAGGGAGATGGGGCCAGCGACAGGGGGAGGGGTTCCCCAGGAAGGGCTGGGGGCTCCGACACTCCCCAGCAGGGAGATGGGGCCAGTGGGCAGGGGGCTCCCTGCTGGCCCTGTGGCTGTGGATATACCCACTCCCCTGAGTGAGGCTCTGGAGAACAGACTTTGAGGATCTCGCGTCCCTTAGTCCTGGAGGAAGAGGTTGGATGGGACCCAGGGGAACCCTCTCATCTTGTTTCCATGGCAATGTAGTTCACAAGGACCACTGTGGGAGCATGGATGCATCAGGTTATGGTGGGTCACACCAAAATGGCAGCTGGTCACACCACTTACCAAGGAGATGTGGATTTTAGAAAAGCACCAACCCATGCTAACCCCCCTGCCAACGCTGCAGAAGATCCCCTGCACCCGATCCCGGTGCCCCTTGCCAGCTGGGAATGCAGACCCCGAGTGAGGGCAGTACAGCCGAGGAGCCGGACAGCCCAGCCACTGGGAAAAGGCCTGACAGGGCCCATCAGGGGGGTGTCAGAGCAGGCCGGGTAGGAAACCAGGCGTCACAAACCTTTAGAGTACACAAAACTCAGGGTAAAGGAAGCCCCCAGTCTGATCTGCCCCCCTCCCCTAGCACAAGGAGGCAGCCAGAGCACCCATGATCAGCAGAGGTGTCACGTCTCCCCACCCAGGAAAGGGACGGTCCTGCCTGCGGGCTCCCTGCCCCCAACTTGCTGGGCCCTGTCACCTGGAAGGAAGGATTCTCTCTCACTCCACTGTGCTGGGGGCCAGGGCACCTGCCAAGCTGCATAACGGCCCCCTGATCTGTGCCAGTGGGACTGGCACTGGCCATGGCAGGATACCCGAGGCACTGGCTTGGGCACTCAGGCTCCCATCTCACTGTGGGCATGCGGACCCTGCCGACCCCGCCCGCACCAGGTTCATCACTTACTCTGCTGCGTGTCCTGGCGCCAACGAGCCCATGAAGGCGCAGGGCGCCCCCAGCAGGGACAGCACGGTGCAGGAGTTCGAGGCATTGCCACCCCGCTGCCAGCGCTGTGACAGGCACCTAGAAGACAGACAGCCATGGCAGGGCATGGCTGGGCACCAGGCTCCCGGCCCCGCACGGGACCCCAGTCGCCCCTGCTCAGCGGGATCCACACGCAGGAACAGGCCCATTGGCTGGGTGAGGGAGCAGTTAGCACTTACAGAGCCAGCCGGGGGTTCCCTGCTTGCTGACAGGCATGGGGTGGGGCAGAGGAAGCTTGTGCCAGAGCAGCCAGTTTAATGGGAGGCTGCGGCAATGGCTGTACGCAGAGAGCACTTGGGGCTGGGATCCCAGGGCTGCACGCGGCCAGTGCACGGCGGTGGCACTGTGCAGGGGAGCGGCTTGGAGGAACCCAAGGGCCCGAGGGGGTCTGGGCTGCTCTGCCCGGGAAGTCGGGCTACAGGGGAAGCCATTTCTAGATGGTCGAGAGGGCGCCCAGATTCCCCGCTGGCCAGAGCCCCCGGTGGGCCTGCTCCTGCCAGCTGGGTATTTGCCAGCCGGGTATTTGCCAGCCACCTGAACGCCAGGTGGATTTTCATGGCCCAGAGAGGGCCTGGGGCTAGCGCGTGAGCAAGGGCCTGGAAGCCAGAGCCCCGACGTATCCTGGCTCCGACAGGGATGCCCAGCCTGGGGGGGAACAACCCAGCCAGCGTGAGGTGGCGCTTGCTCCCATTCCAGAGGGGCTGATGTGATGGGGCTGCCTGGCCAAGATGCCCGGGAAGTCCCTTCCCTCCAGCCCCACGTCCCTAAGTCCCAGCCCCTTGCGCCTCACCCCTCCCAGCTGGAAAACGGAGATGGGGAGGCTCAGAACCACCCCAGGGGAAGGACCCCGGGAACGTTTTCTGTGAGTGGCAAAGGCAACCCCCCCACCCGCTCGTGGGGCCAGCGCAGGGCTCCCAGAGCCTGCAGCCCAGGGGCTGACCCGGCCAAGCACCCCCAGCCCAGCTCTGGGACTGGGCTCAGCCCCTCCGAGCCCCCAAGCCAGCCTCCCCAGGGGCTGCAGTCCCCAGGGAGCCGAGCCCCCGTACCTGGTGTCCGTGTCCTCGGCCGGGTACACGTCCACCACGCTTATTATGTCCAGGCAAACCAGCCCAACACACAGGATACGCTTTTCCCCCATGGATGGGCTGCCCCTCTGGCACCAGCCTCCCGGGCACCGACCCCCAAACCCCCCTCCGGCACCAGCCCCCCGGGCACCGACCCCCGCTCCGGCACCAGCCCCCCGGGCACCAACCCCCGACCCCCGCTCCGGCACCAGCCCCCCGGGCACCGACCCCCGACCCCCCTCCGGCACCAGCCCCCCGGGCACCGACCCCCGACCCCCCCTCCGGCACCAGCCCCCCGGGCACCGACCCCCGACCCCCCCTCCGGCACCAGCCCCCCGGGCACCGACCCCCGACCCCCGCTCCGGCACCAGCCCCCCGGGCACCGACCCCCGACCCCCCTCCGGCACCAGCCCCCCGGGCACCGACCCCCGACCCCCCCTCCGGCACCAGCCCCCGGGCACCGACCCCCGACCCCCCTCCGGCACCAGCCCCCGGGCACCGACCCCCGACCCCCGCTCCGGCACCAGCCCCCCGGGCACCGACCCCCGACCCCCACTACGGCACCAGCCCCCCGGGCACCGACCCCCGACCCCCCTCCGGCACCAGCCCCCCGGGCACCGACCCCCGACCCCCCCTCCGGCACCAGCCCCCCGGGGAACCTACGGCCCTGCCCCCCGGTACCGCCGCCCGCTGGCTGAGTCAGGAGCGGCCTGAGCCCCACAAGCTCCCGCCTGCAGCTACCTAGCCCCGCCCCTGGCCCCGCCCATTCCCTGCCTAGCCCCGCCCCCGCCTCCAATCCCGTCCGCGGCTCAGAGCCCCGCCCCCCGCCGCACCAGCCCGGACTCCCCGCCCCAGCACGTGACAGGAGCGGGCGGGATCACGTGATGGGGGCGGGGCGGATGCTCTAGGCTGGGGGCGGGGCGCGGATGGTGACGGCCCCCCCTCCCCCGGCCGAGGATAGCGCTGGGGTCACCCCCCCAGCCTAGGCCCCCCCCGGCCTGGCCCCCCCAAAACTGCACCCCCCCGGGACTGCCCCAGCCTGTGGCCCCCGCTGGCCAAGGATAGCGCTGGGGTCACCCCCCCAGCCTAGGCCCCCCCTGGCCTGGCCCCCCCAAAACTGCACCCCCCCGGGACTGCCCCGGCCTGTGGCCCCCCCCGGCCGAGGATAGCGCTGGGGTCACCCCCCCAGCCTAGGCCCCCCCCGGCCTGGCCCCCCGAGGACTGCACCCCCCCGGGACTGCCCCAGCCTGTGGCCCCCGCTGGCCAAGGATAGCGCTGGGGCTGACCCCCCCGCCCCGGCCTTTTGCAGACATAGCCCAGGTGCACCGTGCGTGGGCTCTGGCCGTGGGTTCACGGGGGCCCTGCACCAGGCTCGAGTCTCACACACGCGTGCAACATGAGGTGTGTAAATTCCCCCATTGTTCTTTGTGGCCCCCTCGCAAGGAGCCCAGGAAAGCACAGGGGCGTGTGTGGGGGGAGGTGATGGTGCCCGTGTAACCTTAACTCTGCCCAGCGTGAGCTTACCCAGCACAGCTGTGAGCTGCAGGGTCCCTGGCATTCTCCAGGTCTAGACCATCAGCTGACAGCTCTGGTGAGAAAAATCCATCTCCCCTGGTGCAGACAGCACTGTGCCGATGGGGGCTTCTCCCGCCTCTCACGGACGGGGGTGAGTGACGCCGGCAGGAGGCGCTCTCCCATCCGTCTCGCAGGAGTGTCTTTGCTGAAGCCTAGCGGCAGAGTTTCAAGTGTCAGCCTGCCCTTATAATCTGCCAGCCTCAGGGAGGTTTCTGGGGCTTTGGTGGGAATGCTGAGCCAGACGTGGGGATGTTGTGGAGAAGGACACAGAGGGAGCCCAGCGCCTGCATCCAGCCCTCAGAACCAAGGCCCTGGAGGGAAAAGGCTCTGGATCCAATTCCCCACCCCCAGGAACCAGCCTTTCTTTAATGTGGATGTCCTGGCCTGCTGCTTGACAGGTCCTTGGCATTCCCATCTGCTGTGTTTGTCCCCTGGCTAGCTGCTGAGAGGAGCTCCCAGCACAGACCCTTGTTGTACGTACGACCCTTGTTGTACGCCAGGCTATTCCTGCGCCGCAGTGCCTGGGTGGGGAAGTTCAAGCTCAAATCCTGCTCTGCCCCAGCCCTGCAGAGTGGCTGGGACGGGGCAAAGCTACGAGCTGGCCCTGCCCAGCATGGGGCTGCCTTCTCCTTTGGATCCCTCCTCTGAGGACCAAATATCCTACTTCACCTTCCCTGTGTCACAGGGCAGGCCTGGCAGCCAGGAGGTGGGGCCGTGAAGCTGCCTATGGAGGCACAAAGGTCCTGGCTGATAAGAGACTTGTTTATCTAGGATCTTGTGCCCAGTTTCCAAAAGGAACCTTCTGTGTGAAAGCAAGTCCTCTGCCTTCCAACTCCCTTTGTGAGTCCCAGCCCCGGGCAGGGCATTTCCAAATTCAAACCAATCCCTCTCCCTGCCCTCTGGGCCTCACTTCCCCTCCCCTTTTCTATTTCTAACTCTTCTCCATCACTTCCTGTCTCTACAGTGTTGCTGTCAGCTGCTAGCCAGCTGCTGTGTTCCACCCAGAGGTGGCTGCATTTCTCTGGTGGGTGAGTAATTGTATATATCCTACAGTCTGCAAAGCACTTGGGGATCCCAGGCACTGTATAGCTGGGGGGATTATTATGCCTCCCACAGCCACTGTTTTCTGTTCTCTCAAGCCACCCACCTCGCTGAGGAGTTTGAGAGCTGGCATCGAGGAAGTTATTCCTCTGAAGTTAGACTGGAGTCCATGGGTAGGGCCCCTACCAAATTAATGGTCCACTTTGGTCAATTTCAGGGTCATAGGTTTTTAAAAGTTGTAAATTTCATGATTTCAGCTGTTTAAATCTGAAATGTCACAGTGTTGTAACTGTCGGGGTCCTGACCCAGAAAGGAGTTGTGGGAGGGTCGCAAGGTTATTGTAGCGGGGGTTGCGGTTCTGCTACCCTTACTTCTGCCCTGCTGCTGGCGTGGCGCTGCCTTCAGAGCTGGGTGTGTGGCCAACAGCCACCGCTCTCCCGCCGCCCAGCTCTGAAGGCAGTGCAGAAGTAAGGGTGGCAATACCGTGACCACCCTCCTGCAGCCCCCTTTTGGGTCAGGTCCCCCAATTTGAGAAACACTTGTTTTCCCTGTGGCCCCCCCTGTGAAATCTGTACAGTATAGGGTGAAAGCACACAAAATACCAGATTTTGTGGTCTATGACGTGATTTTCACGGCCGTGAATTTGGTAGGGCCCTGCCCGTGGGCCTGCCCGTTTCCCTGTGTTTGAATTCCCTGCCATTATTCCCATCAGTACCCTGTCTAGTCTGTCTCCTCTTTCTAGAGGGTTGCATCCCACTTGGCCCCATGGGATTACCATCCACACTGAGGGGATCCTAGGCCCAGACTGGGGAGAGGGGGTGGAGCTGCACTTATGTGCAGAGCTATGGGTTAAAGCAATTCATCATGACAGACGGCAAGGCATGGTGGCCTGTAACTGCAGCTGGGGGAGCACTGCAGGTCCCTACCGCCCAGCAGGGGTGGACTGAGCCCTCCAGGGCAGCTGCTAATGCGCCTCTGGAGACAGAGCCTGCAGTGACACTGGCTGGAAGGAGAAGTAAAGGGCTCCCCCATGCTCATGCTCCAGGGCAGAGAAGAGCAGCTCTGAGGAAGGCCATTTCTGTCCAGGAGACAGTGTGGCAGTTAGCTTCTTGTGGGGCGGGGGTGGTGCTATCACATAAGAATGGCCATACTGGGTCAGACCAAAGGTCCATCTAGCCCAGTGTCCTGTCTTCCAACAGTGGCCAGTGCCAGGTGCCCCGGAGGGAATGAACAGAACAGGGAATCATCAAGTGATCCATCCCCTGTTGCTCGTTCCCAGCTTCTGACAAACAGAGGCTAGGGACACCATCCCTGCCCATCCTGGCAAATAGCCATTGATGGACCTATCCTCTGTGAACTTATCCAGTTCTTTTTTGAACCCTGTTATAGTCTTGGCCTTCATAACATCCCTGGCAAAGAGTTCCACAGGTTGACAGTGCATTGTGTGAAGTACTTTCCTATGTTTGTTTTAAACCTGCTGCCTGTCAATTTCATTGGGCGACCCCTAGTTTGTGTGTGATGTGAATAGTAAATAACACTTCGCTATTCACCTTCTCCACCCTAGTCATGATTTTATAAACCTATGTCATATCCCCACTTTGTCGTCTCTTTTCCAAGCTGAACGGCTCTAATGTTTGGAGTCTCTCCTCGTATGGAAGCTGTTTCATACCCTGATCATCTTTGCTGCCCTTCTTTGAACCTTTTACAGTTCCACTGTATTGTTTTTGAGATGGGGTGATCACGTCTGCGTGCAGTATTCAAGGTGTGGGCATCCCATGGATTTAGATAGCGGCATTAGGATATTGTCTGTCTTCTTAGCTGTCCCTTTCCTAATAGTTTCTAAAGTATTCTTAGCCTTTTTGACCGCTGCTGCGCATTGAGCTGAAATTTTCAGAGAACTATTCACTGTGACCCCCAGATCTCTTTCCTGGGTGTTACCAGCTAATTTCAACCCCGTCACTATGTGTATGGTTGGGATTATGTTTCCAATGTGCATTTCTTTGCCATTTTGTTGCCCGGTCACCCAGTTTTGTGACTCTAACTCCTTGCACTCAGCTGTGGACTTAACTATCTTAAACAACTTTGTATCGTCTGCAAACTTTGCCACCTCCCTGTTCACCCCCTGTTCCAGCTCATTTATGACTATGTTGAACAGGACTGGTCCTGGTACAGACCCCTGGGACCTGCTATTTACCTCTCTCCAGTTACCGATCCAGGAGAGGACCTTCCCTCTCACCCCATGACTCCTTAGTTACCTTAAGAGCCTTTGGTGCGGGACCTTGTCAAAGGCTTTCTGAAAGTCCAAATAGTTCCTAAAAACATTACAGGAAATTCCTACTTCATCCCCATGCTATTCCCTGAGGCCCCAGTGCCAATCTGCACTATCCCCTGCGGGATCCGTAGCACACCGAGCAGCTGTGATGTGAAGTCAAAACGCCCCTTTGGCTTCTTGAGAAAGAACCGCTGGCCCATGTAGCCAGGAAGAGGCAGTGTGGCTTAGGGGTTGGAGCATGGGGAACTGGGAGTCAGGACCCTAGGATGTTCTTACTGTGTCCCCCCACCCAAAAAAACCCTTCTCAGCCTCAGTTTCCCCACCTGCTCTGCTCCCCCCCGCGGGCTGTGAGACTTGGCTGGCTGTGTGCTAAGTGCTGGCAGTGCTGGGCTGAGGCAGATGAGCCAGTTATCCTGCCAGCCCCCAGCGAGGAGCTCCCCTCCCTACGATTGCACATGAGTCAGAGCCTGGCTCTTCCCTCTGCCAGCATGTGGGAGGGAGGAGAGGCAGCAGACAGGGCTTGGCTGGGGAGATGCACCTGAGGGAGGGTTTGGCTTGGACCGCCCATGGTTAATGTGTCATCAGGCGGGGCGGGCTGCCTCCAAGGGGCCCTGCGGCTAGGCTGGAGGCCAGGGAGCCCCACCAGCGAGTGAGGAGCGGAGCGTGGCTGGGCACAGGTAGGTCGGCTCTGCGCCAGGGGACAGAGTCAGGGATGTGGGGGGAAGGAGTCTGGCTCTGCATGGCAAGGGGAGCTGGGGGCTCCTGCAGCCAGTGATTCTGAGGAAGGAGAGTGCAGTCATTTCAGTCTGATTGCTGCAAGTGCAGAGGAGCAGCTGCCAGCTTGCGTGTGTGGGGGGGTGGGAGATAGTCCGGACCCTGGCACCAGTGGGTGCTTGTGTGTGTGTGGGGAGGGCGCCTGCATGTAAGATCTAGGGAGCAGTGGGGGGGTCAGTCTAGGGAGATGTGAGGGGCACCTGGGCATGTCTTGGCATGGATGTAGACACGTGTCATCTGTGTCTCTGGTGCCAGGCTGGTGTCCCTGGCCCCAGCAGGCCCCGCATGGGAGCCCTGCGCAGGGCACTACTTCTGCAGGCGTTTCCTTCCCGCTCACCCTCCCTTGCTGACTTTTGCCTTGGAAGGAGCTGGCCCCTTGCTGGGCTCACCTGGTGGCTCCACAGGCCCCACCCCCAGTAGGACTCGCTGTGCTGTGCTCAGCACCGGCAGGGCTGGGGGTAGAGCCCCAACCGTGCCCTCTCCTCCCTGAGCACCCCCAGGGCAGGGAGGGTGTCTGGGAGCCGGTGTGACGTGGGCAGGACAGTGAGGGCAGCTCTGGCTGTGCAGGAGCCGGCCTGGGCCCAGCCCTCACCCCTGGCTGCCCGGCGGGCCTGGCTGGGAGGAGCAGGAGCCAGGCTGGGAGATGTCTGAGCAGGGACCCCCAGGCCCAGCTGCCCACCCAGTGCAGCTGGGAGCTGTGCACAGCAGACATAGCTCAGGGCCTGGAGGGACGAGCTTTCCAGCTTTGAATGAAACCTCCTGTAAAGCAAGTGCCTCATCCTGGGGCATCCGGGGTCTCCCGGGACCCGCCAAGCTGCACATGGCCTCTCCGGTCCCCATCAGCCACACACAACCCTGGGCAACCGCCACTCAACCCTGGCCAGGACTGTTTGCTCCAGGGCCAGCAGCAAACCTCCTTTGGTCCCAGCTCCACTGCACCGCAGGCTCCAGTCACTGCTCCCAGTGCCTTGAAATCCAGATCCCCAGGCCAGGTGGGCACAAGTTGAGCATCGGGTTGGAGCCCTGCCCAGCACCAGCCAGAGACCTGCCCCAGTGCCGTTTCCAGAGCAGCCAGGCTGGGTGGAGGGACTTGACGGGAACCCCCCTGGCCTTGGGTAATTGTTAACCACTGACACCCATTGTCGGCCAGATGTGGTCCAGTGTCAGATGTTAGGGGGCTTATTCCTTCACTCACTTACTTCCCTGGTCCTCGCATGAACAGAGAACAACAATACCCAAAGTCCAAAGGTGCAAACAATTCAATGTTTATTGGGGTGAACCTCCAGCAAGAATGATTCCAGTTTCCTTCCTTAGTGTCCCCCTTCCCAGCTCTGACACCACAGAGCCTTACACCTGTGTCCCTGTTCCCATTCCTGCCCTTAGCCAAACATGATTCCAATTTCCCCACCCCCATTCCCTGTTCCCATTCCCCCCCCTTACTTCCTGATTGACTGCAGACTATGTAGTAAAACTTGAGTTCTGCTTAGCTATACCTTAACCAATCATTTTCCTGAAATTTAACTAACCAGTCCTAACATATTGTAACATGATTAGCTAACCCATTATATCCCACCACCTTAATTAGTTTACACCCAGCAAAATTAATTATACAGCAGACAGAAACAGTCACAGAACCAGACAGAGACCATGCAAATAAACAACAACAAAGTGGAAACTATAATGACAAAACAATACAGAAGTGAGGATTTCACAGCTACATCTATAAAGACATAAGGGTTTCCCAGCTGTGTCTACTGATAACAGAAAACTATCAAACTAAACGGTCCCCCGGCGCTGTGCTGCCCGCTGGCTATGCAGACCTTGTGTGGGGGGCTCTGTGCCCCCCCAGGCCCCTCATCTCCAGACCCTCCAGCACTGGGCCATCCCACGGCAGGTGTGCAGGAGGGGTCCCAAGACAGACATGGGGCAGGCAGTGTGGGG